TTCCCAGGTTTTTAAAAGCATATGTGCTCTTGTTGGTGAGTTTTTCTCTCAATTCCTGTCCCTGTGACACAACGAGAAGTAAATAATTATTCCCATACTCTTTCTATTTTGTTATAGACGGCTTTTTTCTCCCCGCCCACTTTACTAACAATTGTATTTCTGTCTAAGCATTCACCTCATGTCTGGTTGCAGTTACATAACAAAGAGAAAACTCCTCCAATGGAGACACAGAGAGCAATAAAATATGTTGGCTAAAGATCTAAAGCTATTCACCAATGCTTGTTTCTCTTCTGGTACAACGTTTTCATTAAGACAGGAAGTGAAAGTAAAGCTCTCCAAGGGCTCATTCATACAGGGTGGCCATGGGGTGGTAAAGGCAGGAGGTTGAGCTTTGGTTTTAATGCTCCCTGATTGTCCACTTAAAGAACGGCATGCAGCCACTCGGGGTGGTACACATGCTGTGACCTCAATGTTTTGTTTTCTCATCTGTGGCAAAAATTAAATGACATGCCACTTTTGGCAGGTGGTACCGCCAATGAACATATTTGACCTATTTAAGTGTATGGGGCTGTGTGGCAACCACCCTGTGCCGTGGTTCAGAGTAAAAACAGGTGGTGAGGAGGAAACATAGTAGGGTAGATCTACTAAAACTGGAGAGTGAAAAATCTGCTGCAGCTTGTACATGGTTGCCAATCATCTTCTAACTTCAGCTTGTTCAATTAAGCTTTGACAAAAAACTGGAAGCTGACTGCTTTCTATGCCGAGCTGCACCAGATTTTGCATTCTTCAGTGTTAGTAAAGCAACCCCATTGCCTATTCACCATCTGTTAAATTCCCTTTAAAAAGCAATCTACAACGGATCCCTTTTCAGAGGGACACCAACGGCTGCTGCGCATGGGAATGTGCCCAAACAGGGGCTCTAGTTCTTCCCTACTCTATCCAAAACTAAAAAAAAGAAAAGTTCTGACTGGACATACCTTTAAAAAATTTTTTCCATTCTAACCAAATTTTGTATAATAAATTGTTAATAGAGAAATATACATTATTATAATAATAATTCATAATATGGCTATAGGCAAAAGTCACCTAAACTGTATGAGCATGATAAAACATATGCATCTATGAGGCTGCTTGGTGGGTGGGCCTTAACGCCAAGCGGCCGCATATATGCAGCCCTGTATAAACTACTTACCATGCTGAGAGCGTGCTCCCTACATGCTTCCAGCACGGTAGCCACCGATGATTGGTAATCTCCCGATGCATACTTGCCATCAGGAACTTTCTGATGATGTGACTGCTGTCACAGCCAATCACAGTAGTCACATGACCCGAATGTCCTCCTCCCAGCATCTAGAAGCTCTTAAACAGCCGGGAGGCATCGGCGCAAAAGGGTTAATTTCCTTCTGAAAAATATCATTGCACTTTAGTATCTGAGAGTGCCTAGGCACATCTGTGCCTACAGACTCCCAGTCTCACAGTGGTGTGGGGGACCTCTAATCCAGTGCTGAACATGGTCATTCACTGGCTGATCCCCTACCATCCCCTTGCAATGATATCATTCTTCTTCTGGATCCTGAGAGAGCTCCCCCTGCTGGTCAGCAAATACAAAGTGTCCACGTCATATAGGCAGTGATGTGAACAAACACCAGAAGATGGACTCTGCCTATGCAAACAATGGAAGACAGAAGTCATGGGACTGGAAGATAATATGGCCATCGAAAGTAAAATGGGAATGTAGATTTTTAGATAGGTGGTTTTTTTTTTTTTTTTTTTTATGCTGGCAGTGATCATTTAGATATTTAGAGGAGGGTGGGAGAGGGTACAATTTATCTAGAAGCTGGGCTTTAAAGATTCATCTATAGTGCTTCCTTCAAGTTCAGATGCCAGAACACACATGATTTATAGCTGAACGCTCTGACTTCTGTCAAACTGCCAAATTTGGAGTCCTGCTAAACATTGGCTACCATTGCCTTATGCAACTCCTACTCTCATCAAAAGTAACCCACAATCTTTTACAGTACCTGTAAGTTTTTGTTCATCAGAATCTGTAAACTGTGTTCATAACATTCAAATCTATCCATCCCAATAACTTACTTTCTTTACTAAATCATTATTTATCATTAAGGATTTGCACAGTCACCTTGGAGATTAGTGACCTTTAGAAATGTACTCAGTCTGGAGCTTCATACATTAATATTGTCACTGTTCTCCTTAGAGAATTTTAACATCTTTATAATTTACAGTAGGTGACAACAGCTTACATCTGATCACCATAATCATTATCATCTTTAGCAATGTTGACTATTCTGAACATAGTGTAAAGATAAATGAATGCACAATGACTTTTTGCATCAAATTATTGTGATACTCTTTTAAGATTTCTTTTTCTGTGACACAGAAACAGTTTCCAGTTCATTTAATGAAAGTAACTTGAAAAGGATGCTCACGGAAAATAAAATGATTAGTCACTGACAAAGTGACCTCTCACCCACCTTAACAAAATGTGAAACATGCACATTACAGTAGAGAGATGCTGATGCTCTGTCTGTATTTCTTCTCTCTTGAGAGGTTGAGATCTACGGTACATTTCACTGCCTCTTCATGTACTTACAGCTTAGTGAACCAGCTATGGAAGAAGATCAAACACCTCCTGATGCCCAGATAAAATCACAGTGAAACAAATGTTCTTATCCCTTGACTACTGGACCAGACAAAGCAAGCACTAGTCAACCAGACATGCAGTGTACCAGAAATGAAAATGGACTGAAAGCTGTTTTTATAGAAAACTGCCCTGTATTATAGCTACAATGTATTTTTAGTAAATACACATTTTAAGTTTTTATTGTAAAACAAACCTGAAATTAATGTTTGATGTGACTACTTGCTTGCAGGTATCTGCATATCAGGTCAATATTCCAATCCATTCTTCAGCCCACAACCAATTCACACAAATATCAACCCTTCTTTGGGTAAAAGCTTCTTATATTGCTGACATAAGTCTCACTATTGGCTGTGCAATGTAATTGGTGGTTTCACAGGCTAGTAACGGGGGGAGGGCCATACTTTCAACCCAAAAATCTGGACTGGTATCTGCACAACAGCGTATTCTGAAATGTGGTGTTCAAGGACATTACAGGACATTTGAGGATGGATCACACGTGATGACAACTGCAGGTGGTAATTGGTGGCTTCACAGGCTAGTAAGCGGGGGAAAGGGCCATACTCTCAACCCAAAAATCTGGACTGGTATCTGCACAACAGCGTATTCTGAAATGTGGTGTTCAAGGACATTACAAGATGGACCACACATGACAACTGCAAGTGCTTGCTATGTTCTGAAAGTTACAAACAACAAAAATATATGGCGCACAATAGAAATGTTGTATGCAAAAATATGCCCTCTAAAAATAAAATATATATTACAAAAATGTGTTTATTATCCATATGTGGGGTTAGAGGGAGCTAGTCCACAGAGAATGGAAGACTAAGGGTCGGGCCAGACCACGGAGAGCTTATAGGAGTCCATACAGTAGGCTGTGCACTTAGATAGGCAGCTCCACCAGAGACAGGAATGATCTTTAAAAAACCACAAACAAACACAGGTGGGTACCAGCTAAGAACAGCACAAATGGACACTTTTATAATAAAGCCAAATGCAAACTCACATGCCACAATATGCAATGCACATATCATGAATGGCAAGTAGGAATCTGTTCACCCAAGGAGTCTAATACTACTGCTGGCTGTTACTGAGAAAGACTTCTTTGGTGGACAGATTCCTATTTACAATTCATGATAAGCGCATTCCATACCGTGGCATGTGAGTCTGCATTTGGCTTTATTAATAAAGATGTTCTTTTATGTTGCATTTAGCTGGTGCCCCCACGTGTTTTTTTTTTTTTATGTTCTATAAGCGGCTACTCCAAATCTTTTTCCCTGCTATAAATCTACTTTAATATTTGCTTCTAGAGAGTCTGCTGCAATAATAGTATGCCTCTGTAACAAGCAAATATGTTTGCCGTATGTACATGAATATTTACAAAGTATACACAGAAGCAATAGTTTTTGAAGCAAAAAAAAGCCATAAATAGGATGATTTACAGTAAGTAAATCACAACTGCAATGTTTTTCTACAAGACAAGAAAAGAAAATCCATAAACTGTCCCTTTATCACATAGGCAAATCTTTTTTGTTTATACAGTATATTTTGCATAGTACAAAAAAAAATGATAACATGAGTGCTAAAGGAAGAACAATTGATAACGAAGGCATGAGTCCCTGACTCATCACCACATTTGGAACCAAGATAAAACAGATGGACAAACAGCTGACAAATGTCAGAGTCATAAATATGTGTTTATCAGATTTTTTTCTCTGCAGGATAAGTCACTTTTTTACTCATGTACACATTTAGTTACTCTCAGTTGATTAGATTTTGTGCAAATTGTTCTTACATTTGATTTTCTTTATCAATGAATGCATATCATGTTAAATATGTGTATAAAGAAGAGTATGACATCCCTTAACATTCACTGCAGGCAAAAAATGTACTGTAATTTAAACACTAGCCTACAGGGCACTTATACCCCCTTTCTGCCCAGGCCAATTTCCAGCTTTCAGCACTGTCACACTTTGAATGACAATTGTGTGGTCATGCAACACTGTACCCATATAAAATTTTTATCATTTTTTTGAGACAGAGCTTTCTTTTGGTGGTATTTAATCACCTCTGGGATTTTTATTTTTTCTTAAACAAACCAAAAACCACTGAAAATTTTGAAAAAAAAAATGTTTTTTTCTTAGTTTTTGTTATACAATTTTGTAAATAAGTGATTTTTCTCCTTCACTGATGTGCGCTAATGAGGCTGCAGTGATGGGCACTGATAGGCAGCACTGATGGGCACTGATGAGGAGGCACTAGTAAGTTGCACTGATGGGACTTGGCAGGCATCACTGATGGGCACTGAAAGGCAGCACTGATACATGACACTGATATATGGCACTGATAGGCAGCACTGATAGGCAGCACTGACTGGTTCTGATAGGCAGCACTGACTGGAACTGATAGGCGGCATTGACTGGCACTGATAGGCGGTACTGACTGGCACTGATGCACACTGATAGGTGACTCTGACTGGCACTGATAGGTGGCACTGATTGGCAGCACTGATAGGTGGCACTGATTGGCATTGATAGGTGGCACTGATGGGTGACATTGAAAGGCAGCTCAGATGGGCACAGATATGTGGCATTGATGTGCACTGGTATGCACTGATATGTAGCATTGATGTGGCACTGATGGGCACTGGCACGTGGCACTGATGGGCACTGGCACGTGGCATTGATAAGCACTGACAGGTGGCACTTCTGGGGCCACACTGATCATCAGGGCAAACTGATCATCAGTGCCCTGATGATCAGTGTACATGTCCCCTCCGCGGAAAGCCGATAACCGGCATTTCCCTCTTTACATGAGATCAGCTGTGATTGGACACAGCTGATCACATGACCGAGCCGACATCTTCGGCTCTTTCCGTGATCCGCTGTATCCGTGGGACACAGCGGACCGGCGTTCGCCATGCTGCGCGCTCCCTGAGCCGTGCATGAGCAGTGAGAATGGTAGGACGTCATATGACGTCCTATCAGAATGAGAGAACCACCTTGCGCCCGTCATTGTACTATACGGTGGGCGGAAGGTGGTTAAAACACATGCACCATGAATGCTTGGCTAATGTCACATTCACTGCTTTATAAAGATTCTCCACAATATTTATTTTCAGTACAGGACATTAGTGGGACCCTTGTGAAATTTTTTAAGAAAGCTGGAACATTTACAATTGAATTTGATGCCAATTCCTAATGAATCAGTATGTGATTGTTAGAACTATGACAAACAGCCCCAAATGACTCAGGTAAAAAGTCCATGACTGGGTATACTTGGCACTGAGACTCTTGAACTTCACACACAGAGAAACACAAGTGTGGACATGAAATAGATTATTATTGTAATGGCTCTGGAACCTTGACAGGAAAGATAAGGATAGCTTTAATGGCCAGACAGTCTCCTCGTACACAGCTGACTGTGTGGACAAATGCCTTGTGCTTGATATGTCCCTGCATTGAAAGTGTTACAGTATGTTACATCTTTTTGGATGAGTAAAAGTGGGCAGAGAAGGCCTAAAACTGGTAAGCAAACTGACCTGTCTGTGACAAACAATGTGTTTTCATAGAGGCCAATTTTTGGGAGCACAGAAGTGTGATGGCAGAAAAATATCAAGTGATCCATCTAGTCTGTCCGCTTTTTTCTTTTTTTTTTTGTCAGAGTATGGATCTACAGTGTGTTTATCCCAAACATTATTTATTTATTTCAGGTACTTAAATTCACTAACTGAAGTGGCTGTGCAGAGCTGAGATTCTGCATCTCTCTCTGTGCCTGTGTAGGTTCAATCTCCTGGTCATCACCATGGATCTGTGTAGAGTTGACTTGCTTGTCTACTCTCCCCCCTCTCTCTTGGCAGTGCAGATTGGATCCAGAGGATGGAGAGAGTAAAAGATAATAGGAATCTCAGAGAGGACTTGCTGTGCTGCAGAGCCTTATTGGAAGTGTAGTTTTTTAAGGGGCGCTGAGCTTACTGGGCAAATTTTTCCAGATTGGTGCCAGTCCAGAGAGGACAGCAAAGAGAACAGACCTACTGTCAGGGTCTGTGCTCTATATCTGAGGGACCAGAGCCAAGCAAAGGGGCCAAGCGGACCTGCTGCTGTGTCTGCCATGCTACCCTCAGAATCTGAGCTTGAGAGAGGGGGTCGCTGCATCTATAGGGCTGGAGCTGAAGACTGCCACCTAAGTGAGGATTCAGTCTGAAAGACTGTGCCACTGAGACCTAATTACTGGAAACTTCTGAGTGCCAAGTGATTGGGAACAGACTGGTTGCCTGGCAGGACTGGTGAAGTAAACTAAATTGTTAAACTCCCACTACACTTTGCTAGCACATTAGAGATTGCTCCTACTTAGCAGCCCACATGCCATTCTTTGCCAAAACTCTTAAAGGGACTGCTCATGTGCTCCACCTAAATAAGGGTCCCACCGAAAGCTGGCCAACGTTGTCTATTAGGTTGTTGGCTATTAGGACTATTTGTTTAATTTGTTTGCAACTTCAGAGGGTTTTGTAAGTTTAAAAATAGGTGTTACACTCTGTATTGTTATGATTATCCAAAGCCAAAGTCACAAAACCTTGAAGTCGCAAGCAAGTCACAAATCAATCACACTGGAAACATAATGAATGAATCCAAATCTTCCAAAATAACTTCCTAAAATATGAATTGATTTGAAATTACGAAAATACTGTGCCTTGAAAAAGTATTCATGCCCCTTAAAATTTTCCACATTTTGTCATGTTACAACCAAAAATGTACATGTTTTTTATTGGGACTTTATGTGATAGACCAACACGAAGTGGCACATGGTGAAGTGGAAGGAAAATGATAAATGGTTTTCAAAATCTTTTACAAATAAATATCTGAAAAGTGTGGCATGCATTCAGCCCCTTTTACTCTGATACCCCTAACTAAACTCTAGAGGAACTAATTGCCTTCAGAAGTCACCTAATTAGTAAATAAAAGTCCACCTGTGTGTAATTTAAGCTCAGTAAAAAAAACAGCTGTTCTGTGAAGCCCTCAGAGGTTTGTTAAAGAGCATTAGTGAACAAACAGCATCATGAAGGCCAAGGAGCACATCAGACAGGTTAGGGGTAAAGTTGTGGAGAAGTTTAAAACAGGGTTATGTTATAAAAAAATATCCCAAGCTTTGAACATCTCATGAAGCTCTGTTCAATCCATCATTCAAAAATGGAAAGAGTTTGGCACAACTGCAAACCTACCAAGAAATGGCCATCCACCAAACTGATAGGCTGGGCAAAGAGAGTGTTAATCAGAGAAGCAGACAAGAGGCTCATGGTAACTCTGGAGGAGCTGCAGAGATCCACAGCTCAGATGCGAGAATCTGTCCACAGGATAACTGTCTTGCACTCCACAAATCTGGCCTTTATGGAAGAGTAGCAAGAAGAAAGCCATTGTTGAAAGAAAGCCATAAGGAGTCCTGTTTGCAGTTTGCGAGAAGCCATGTGGGGGACACAGCAAACATGTGGAAGAAGGTGCTCTGGTCAGATGAGACCAAAATTGAACTTTTCGGCCTAAAAGCAAAATGCTATGTGTGGTGGAAAACTAACATCGCACATCACCCTGAACATACCTTCCCCACTGTGAAACATGGTGGTGGCAGCATCATGTTGTGGAGATGCTTTTCTTCAGCAGGGACATGGAAGCTGGTCAGAGTTGATGGGAAGATGAATGGAGCCAAATACAGGGCAATCTTATAAGAAAACCTGTTAGAGTCTGCAAAAGACTTGAGACTGAGGCAGAGGGTCACCTTCCAGCAGGACAATGACCCCAAACATACAGCCAGAGCTACAATGGAATTATTTAGATCAACGTATATTCATGTGTTAGAGTCTGCTCTGAGTCGCTGTGTGTGGGTGATGTAATCGGAGTGCGACTGTCAGGTTGTGAGTGAAGCAGAGCTCTGTCATTCTTTATATCACTACATCGCTCCTTTTAGGATTTGCCACATTTGGATTGATCACCGACCGGTGCAGGGAAGGTCCATTTGAAGGAATGCCAATATAGAGCCCAGTCGCAGTGGATATCATTTGGCTATATATCTATTTCCTGCAGTGGAAAGGATACATCTCTTGGAGGGATTTCTGCACAGAGCCTGTTTATTTTTTGCTTCTGGTGAGTGCATAGTGGTGGAGGATTGTCACAGATGTACCCTTCACAGATGTCACTTCACATCGTTGATCACCATTGGTTCACACATTATTGCTGGACATTGCAATTTACCTTTTGGACTTAATTTATTATTTATGATATTGGTTATTAGTCCACATATTTGTTTTGTTCACATAGATCAATATTAGCGCTGCACCTTTGTATATTTGCATATATATATATATATATATATATATATATATATATATATAAAATCTCCTAAAATTTTTCTCTCCAAAAATAATCTCCAGGTCACAACAGTGATGTCAGATGATCTAGATGCATGTGCTGCACAAGCATCACTTGCTCACCTAAGTGAATACAATGTCATTCCAATTTTTAGTGATTGCAAACTGCAAAAAAAAAAGTCATAGCATGTTTGCAATTTACGCAAACTGCTTTGTTTCCCTGTATGTATCACTGAAATGGGAATAAAGCTCTCCTAAGGCCTCCTGCACACTGCAGCTGTCAAACACCTGTTTTACAGGCATTTAACATTCTTCTTTTCAGCCCCTAAATGCCCCTCTACATTATCCACACACAGGTGTTTATAGGCATTTAGGGTCATTTAGGGACAGAAATGTGAATGCAGCAAAACCTGGTTTAGGAGAGGAGCATTTGGGCATAAAAAATGCCCGATACGTCTGTAAACATGTGTAAATGCATCTAAACACACCTATACAGTATGCACATTTACTGCTTAAGCGTTCACTCACCTCAATGGTCAGAATAAATTACTATTCTGGACAATTAAATGAATGATCGCCCAAATGCTTGACATGCCTGAACACGTTTAAAAACGTTTGAAACATGCGGCTTTAAGTGAGATTTTAATGTTACTTCTCTCCTGTCAGGAGAAAAGAGTTCAAAAGTGCATGGTGTGCATGTGCATGCTAAACCAAAATGCATACATTCAATTTGAGCTAATTCCACTAATATCAGATCATTTTACTTAGCAGAATTAGCCAATTATATTTTGTGGTAAATACACTATATTGCCAAACGTATTGGGGCACCCCTCCAAATCATTGGATTCAGGTGTTTCAATCACCTCCATGGCCAAATAAAGCACCTAGACATGCAGACTGCTTCTACAAACATTTGTGAAGTGAATTCAAGTGTGGTACTGTAATAGGTTGCCACCTGTGCAATAAGTCCATCCATAAAATTCAGCTAACTCAACCACGAAGTGGTAGGCTACGTAAATTGACAGAGCGGGGTCAACGCATGCTGAAACGCACAGTGCACAGAAGTCGCCATCTGTCTGCAGAGTAAATAGCTAAAGACCTCCAACTTTGTGTGACCTTCAGATTAGTACAACAACAGTGCATAGAGAGCTTCATGGAATGGATTTGCATGGCCGAGCAGCTGCATCCAAGCCTTACATAACCAAGTGCAATACAAAGCTGTGGTGTAAAGCACACTGCCACAGGACTCTAGAGTAGTGGAGACGTGTTCTCTGGAGTGACGAATCACGCTTTGCCGGTCTGGCAATCTGATGGACGTGTCTGGGTTTGGTGGATGCCAGAAGAGTGGTA